ACCCTAAACCCTAAACCCTACTCGGCTTCCGTTACAGGACTCCTCGCAGGGGCTCCTTTAAAGGATTCCTTGGAAGGCTTCCCTTACAGGCTTCCAAGCATCCTCTTAAGTTGTTCTATAAGAGATTCTGCAAGGATTTCTATGAGGTTGAGGGTTTAGAGCTTAGGGCTTAGGAGTTTAGGAATTTGTTTTCCGGGGTGCTGGCACTCGTTGATCCGAATATTAAGACAGGAACTTTGACTGCAGAAACGGGACAAGAAAGCCGGTCGTCTGTCCTCGTGGTCCTGCACCATCGTGGCGTAGCTCGAGCCAATCCATGCGAAGTCATGCCAGTTCGCTTGGCCAAGGCGTCTGCTCGGGACCTTCATTTCGCCCATCACTCTAAACCCTAAACCCCAACTTTCTTTGGGTGATAGCCTTCCTCCTTCTGAAGTCTCGGAGTACGGTTCAGGATCGTCCTCGTGCAGTCTCAAAGGCAGGGAATTGCAACCCGCAACTCGCAGTATGCGGTTTAGGAGGGGTGCCTTAGCTTCTCTGGTTTGAGCTTTTGGACACTACTGGGCCCATACAGCCCTAAACCCGAAACCCTAAACCCAAAAACGGCACATAAAGTCTAAACCCTAAACCTAAACCCTAAACCCTAAGCCGTGCGGTATCTTAATTTAGAACTCCCTTGCAGGAGCTCAAGGATTGGAACTGGGACTGAGGAGCTATGGGACTGTTTTGTTGTCGGTTGATTGAAGGCGCCGGGGGTTCCTTTAAGGGTTGGGTAAGGATTTAGGGTTTAGGGTATAGGGTTTAGGGTTTAGGGTTTAGGCTTAGGGCCAAGGAATTTCACTTAAGCTAACATGATAAGGAAACCATTTTTGGTTCACTATAGACCCCTGTTGATGTACAGTAACTTTAATTTCCTTACCCAGAATCCTCGCGGCGAGGAGGAAGGACCACTGCCGCGGCTGTTTTGGTTCCCTGAACCCCAAATTTAGGCCCTAAACCCCAAAATCCTGAACCTAAACCCTAAACCCTAAACCCCAGACCAAAAACCTGGGATGAACACCCTAACCTACACCCTAAACCCCAAAACCCTAGACGCTACACCTTAAACCCCAGCTGAGTGTCCAGCTTCATGCTGCTCCGCCTCTGTGGAAGCCGCACGCAGCCTTGGGCGCTGAACCAACAGGGTTTTGGATTTAGGGTAGGGTTTGGGTTTAGGGTTTAGGCTTTAGGGTTTAGGCCTCGCGCTAATGCTCGGGTGGTACAACGTCTTTTGAGACTTTCCGGTGATTCCTTAGGGTTTGCGGGTTGAGGGTGATTTACACGAGACATCGGAGCTATTTGATCGTTGAGGCGTCGAGTACACGACGGGGACTTTGCACGCAGGTTGCGCCGATGAGGTGGCTTGGTGGTGCCTGTGAGTGCTGTGTTGTGGTTTGGGATGTTAAGATCGTTCGTTCGCCGAAGTCTGCCCACCGCAATCAGACCACACCAGTGTTAGTACTGCTACAGTATGACGGCTACCTACCACCGAAAAGTTATAAACATACTAGCAGCCGATATTGCTGATAATGTGCCCTAACCCCTATGGAAACCCACAAAACCCTTGTAGAGTATAGAAGCCAAACGAAATCCCTAAAGGACCCTTGAAGGAACCCCGACTCCTACATGGACTGCAAGCAACACCCAGGCAACTGGTTCACCTTATACTAGGACAAGAGTTTGGGATGCTATACTTCAACCGTAACATATCACATATCGTAATGGGACACCTAAGGCGACCTAAGGAATGCTCTGGCGCATTATGCCACAATAGTCATAGGAAACAGAGTCGGAATATTATTGGCAACATTTCGGCTTCTGTAGTGGATCTTTCTCCAGACCCTAAACCCTAAACCCTCAACCGGGCCAGAAACAGACTTCTAAATTTCGGGAACCTGAAACCCCAAAACCCTGAACGGTTCAGGTTTAGGGTTTAGAGGTTAGTTCGAGTTGAGGATTTAGGACTCCGGGTTTAGCTTTTAGGCCTAAACCCTAAACCCTACCCCTAAACCCTAAACCCTAAACCCTAAACCTTCATTCCGGCCCTACCACCCCCAGCCTTCGAGCTGGAGAGAAACAAGCTGAACCTTGAAGTTTAGGGTTTAGGGGTTTAGGGGTTCAGGGGTTCAGGAGTTTAGGGTTTAGGGTTTAGGGTTTCGGGTATAGGGTTTCGGGCTTCGGGTTTAGATTTAGGATTAGGGTCTCGGGCTTAGGGTTTAGGGTTTTGGGTTTAGGTTTAGGGTTTCGCGTGTAGGGTTTAGGGATTCGGGTCTAGGTGTAGGGTTTCGGGCTTAGGGTTTAAGGATTTGGGTCTAGGTTTAGGGTTTCGGGCTTAGGGTTTAGGGATTCGGGTTTAGGGTTTAGGGTTCAGGGCAAAACACCCTTTTTCCACAGATTCATACTGTGCGAAACCTACGGCTTCTCTTCCACATGAGCCCGCGCCAACCCTGGTAACAATTGTACTACACGGTATTAGGGCTTTGGGTTTACTGTGCTCAATCGCAACTCTGGATAGGCATTTTTAGAAACTGCTAGCTAAAAGTGTCTTCAGTGGCTCATATGGAAACCTCACGGTTTGCCGCTACCACGTGGTGCAGTTACAATCGTGAAAACCCAGGAATTTCTCCTGGCCTTCATTGATTCATGCTGAGCGTGACCTTCTGATACCCCCAAAGCATCCTCAAAAAGCTCCTAAGCCCTAAACCCCTAAACTTTAAACCATACAGGCTTGCACAGTACACTCTCTCAAAATGGAACCAGAGACTGCCATGCGTGCGCTTTCGCACGAAGTCACGAAGTCAGACGGCAGGAGGGGGATTCGGAGTACCAATCAGTACTCACATCCCACCGCACCTTCTTCACGACCGAGTATGGGCAACTTCGCATGCGGCGCTGCTAAAAAGTTTCCGACTACCTTCCGAAGGATCACGACCTAATGATATCTACTGCAATCGGCTGTTTCCGAGTTTCCCTACATGTGCCTGCGAAGCCCAAGAAATTTATGACACCAAGTCTCAGTCGTCACTGTGGTTGTGGCTGTCGTTGTGGGTGTCGTTATCATCGTGGTCATGGTCGTGGCTGTCCTGGGCTGTTCTTGCGTGGTTGTCAAAATTATGGTCCCTTTTTGGGTCCTTATTATAATACGGCACCTATTATTTAGGGTACCCCACAAGGGACCATAATTTTGACAACTACCCTCTTGGAGGCTCTTCGAAAATCGTAAGCCTAGGAACGGCCTACTGAACTGGGTTGGAAGAGGGTTCCCAAAACCCTAAACCCTCAACCCAGTGGCATTATGATCATGATCATGGCTGTCGTTGTCATCATGGCTGTGATTATGGTCGTGATCGTGATCGTGGCCGTGGCCATCGTCGCCAGCTCCGCCTCCAACAGGCATGGTGTCTCCCTCGTCTTCCTGGGTTTATAGAGGGTTGAGGGTTTCCTAAGTTCTACCCTTCTTGCCATCATTCAGCCTTAAGAAGGAAACCTCGGGCTTAGGGGTATCCCTTAGTTTAAATGTTAAACCCTACATAACTAGAGTGGAACAAAAAAACAAATGGTACTAATGGCAGGACCTCGCTTCTTCGCAGCCCTGCAGATGGCCGGCAAGCATGAACGCGACCATCGCCAGGATCAATGCACGCCAGGACTTCATGGCTACGGCGGACAAGAGTTACGACTACCTGCGAGCTTGTGGCGCTCTGAGAATGAAACTCCCGGGCCGCGGTACAGCCGGCACTCGCAGGCGTGCACTTGAAGTCATAATTCTCCAGAGATGAAGAAACATAAAGATGTGACCTACGAGCCCTGAGTTCTAGTTCCTACACGGAGGACCAATTTTGGAATGCGTCATGATAGTTGATTCGCATGTAGTACTCTTCGGTATGTCACCTCAACAGCTTAAGGCTTAAACTTACAAAAGGTTCAAGATTAAGTGTGCAGGGCCTCTGGTGCAGAGTTCAGGGTTTCAGGGCGTCAGGTTTACGGTGTAGTAAGTTTCTTCCCGCTGGACTACCAAAAACTCAGAACAAATTCGAAAAACGGGAACCCCAAAACCTTTAATGTGGTGGCCCGAATAATTACAAGGGGTTGAAGAAGGGACTATCGAGGGTGGAAAACCCAATTCGTCAGACCTCACTTCGAGGATCATGGGACCTACTAGCTAGGCTTATAAATAAGAAAACTACAGTTTGAATTCTTGATACGAGTAATGCTATAAAATTAACTAAGGTGGTTATAAACTTATTTACTCAATCCCATGATCCTCCAAGAACCAACTCCAGACCTAATTAAACGCCAAACCCTAAACCCCAAACCCCAAACGCTAAACCCTAAATCCTAAACCCTCAACCCTCAACCCTAAACCCCAAACCCTAAACCAGAAGGCACTCGGCGCCCCTGCGCCACTTTCCGGAAGCCCTCCTTGGCCACGAAAAGGTCCAGGTTGCTAAGGAGCCTGGGCGTCTGGGGTTTAGGGTTTGGGGTTTAGAATTTAGGGCTTATGGTTTAGGGTTTAGGGTTGGGGGTTTAGGGTTTAGGGTTTGGGGTTTAGGGTTTGGGGTTTAGAATTTAGGACCAGGGTTGTGTTGGGGCTTAAGTTTTTTTTTGGGTTTGGGCTGTAAGGGTCTTAGGGCTTATTGGCTTATTGGCTTATTGGCTTATTGGCTTAAGGCTTCCACTGTAGAACAGGGTAACAGTTTGGAAGTTCCCGGCTTTCGGTTGCGATGGCAACAAGCCTGCTGCGGGTTCAAGGGTTTTGGGTTTAGGGCTTAGTCCCGCCCAACAACCCCAACTAGGGTTTAGGGCTCACCCCCCAAACCCCCCTCAAGGGGCTTTCTTGCTCCCTGTTTCTCCTTGCAGCCCTGCATAAAATGACTACATGTCAAAGCAAAACACAGCTGCGATGGATTGGTGTCGGGTTGTGGGTCCTCGCGGCCTGTGCCGGCCGCTCGACGAGAAGCAAAGGTTCCCAACTTGCTCGAAGTTTCCAGTGACGGCCCGGAGCGCGTGGACCGGGGCGGGGACCCGAAAATCTGTATGTTTGAGGTTTGGGCCTGTTTTATCAGGCCTTGGAAAGCTGCTTGGGCCCTGACCTGACTTCTGTTGGGTCGCTCCCTCAGACCGGCCCAGAAGGCCCCGGCCCCTAGAATTTGCCAGCCTGGGGCCCAGCTCCCCCCAAAAGAACACAATCGCTTTCATTGGTATTTGGGGCCTCAAACCCTAAACCCTAAACCCTAAACCCTAATTTCAACGGACCCCGTATACCGGGAGGCTTTACCCTGCCTCATCGTCCTGTCGAGACGGAGCCTCCAGCGCCCATGCAAAGTATGGTCAGCGTCGGCAGTTTAGAGTTTAGGGTTCAGGGGATTAGAGTTCACGGGCTTAGGGGTAAGAAGACCCCTAAACCACAAACCGCCTGCAAATCCTCTCAGGCATGACCAATCCTCTCAGGCCCCTAGTTAAATTCCTTAAGCCCTCGACAGTATGCAGCCTGAACCCCTAAACCACCTTGCGAAGGGCTTTCTTGAAGCACGTAATATAGGGGCCTCAATAATTTTAGAATAGGGCTTGGGCTTGGGGTTTTTATTTATTATAATTACAATAAGGAACACCGAAAAGACTATTCAAATTGTTAAGGCCCCAACAGTAATGCAGTCGTCTGCGCCTGACTGCCGGTCGAATATCTAATTTGCTCTGTTGTGGTAACCTGGAAGAACCGGAATAGAACCCCTCTAGAACCCATGTAGAAATCGTACCAGACCCACATAGTGTCCGTACAGAGCCCTTCTACGATCTTTCTTCGGCGGTGCGCCTTGTTCGAGGGGTTTAGGGTTTCAGGGTCTGGGGTTTAGGGTTCGCGTTTATGGTTCACGGTTGCCGGTTTAGGGTTTCGGGACATGGGTTACGGTTCGGGGTTTAGGGGGCACCAGCTATCACAGTAGTGCGCACTGCCGAGTTAGACCACCTCTCACATCTGAAACCACCAACGAAGACTGCAACTCTAGCAGCAAGAACTTGATTAGGGAACAGAGGTCTTCCTTCCGGGATAATAGGATCCTTCTTATGATCTACATTCGCATTGTGTACAAGTATCGACATCTACACATACATACATACATACATACATACATACATACATACATACATACATACATCCATGCATGCATGCATGCATACATACATACATGCCTGCATGCATGCAT